CCAGAATTACTGCCAGTTCCAAGCCCAGGTAAAGGAGGAGGGTTGAGCATGCGGTTAGCGACCTAATCCCGTTGAAAACTAACTCGCTAAAAACACGCTAACCAAAAAATAATTCAAACCATTTGAACTATGCTCTAGGAGTTAGAGCGTATTAATTTAGAAGAGTTATAACGCTTCATGGTGAAAGCCGAGTTCCATCGGGAGCCACGAGGCCGACGACCCTTCTAACAACCAGAACAACAAGTTTCATAGGTACATGGAACGTCCGGACAATGTGGGAGACCGGGAAGACCAGTCAAATAGCAACGGAAATGAGGAGTAACAACTTGGCAGTACTGGAAATCAGTGAAACCCATTGGACCCAAGCTGGACAACAAAGGCTAAATACGGGAGAGGTGCTGCTATACTCCGGTCACGAAGAAAAAAATGCTGCACACACGCAGAAAGTTGCTCTAATGCTGTCCAAAGTAGCACAAAATGCACTTGTAGGATGGGAATCTCACGGATCCAGAATCATCAAAGCATCATTCAAAACAAAGAGGGAGGGAATCACAATGAACATTATCCGGTGTTATGCACCCACAAATGATAGCAACGACGACGTTAAAGATCAATTCTATGAGAGGCTGCAATCAATCATAGAGAAGTGCCCAAGAAAGGACCTCACCATTCAGATGGTAGATCTAAACGCCAAAGTCGGAATAGACAACACCGGATATAAAGATATCATGGGACTGCATGGACTGGGAGAAAGGAACGAAAACGGGGAAAAATTTGTAAATCTGTGTGCATTCAACAAATTTGTCATGGGCGGCACAATATTTCCACATAAACTTATACACAAAACTACATGGATCTCATCGGACCACACCACAGAGAACCAGATAGGTCACATTTGAATCAATAAAAAATTCTAAAGGACAATGGAAGATGTGAGAGTCAGGAGAGGAGCGGACATAGCTTCAGATCACCACCTGGTGGTGGCTAATTTAAAACTGAAGCTAAAGAAGAACTGGACAACTGGACAAACAGCGCTGCAAAGGTTCAATAAAGCCTTCCTTTGAGATACTGACAAACTCAATGAATTCAAGATAGCTCTCAACATCAGGTTCTAAGCCTTACAAGATCTACTGAAGGAAGAAGAAACCACTATGGAGGATAGCTGGAAACATACCAAAGAAGCATTAACTTCGACATGTCAGAAGGCTCTGGGCCTCAAGAAGCATCATCATAAGGAATGGATATCTATAGAAACACTGGACAAGATCAAAGAAAGAAAGATCAAGAAGGCAGCAGTCAACAACAGAGAAATTCCAAGCACAAGCTGAGTACATAGAAGCAAACAAGCAAGTGAAGAAGAGCATTAGAGCCGACAAGCAGAAATAAGTGGAAGAACTCGCAACGACGACGGAAAAAGCTGCAAGAGAAGGAAATATGAAACAGCTTTACGATACAACGAAGAAACTAGCAGGGAAATATGGTAAACCAGAGAGATCATTCAAAGACGAAGAAGGCAGGCCAATCACTGAAATTCAACAACAGTGGAACAAATGGGTAGGGTAATTAGAGGAACTCCTGGATAGTCCGGCTCCAATGGATCCACCGGACATCGAAGCAGCACACACAGATCTTCTTATAAATGTCAATCCACCTACGACGGAAGAAATCAGAATGGCCAAAAGACAAATCAAGAGCGGTAAAGCAGCAGGATCCGATAATATATCAGCTGAAGCACTGAAGTCAGACATCGAAGTAACTAAAAACATGCTTCGCCTTCTATTCAAGAAGATTTGGGAGGAGGAACAAGTGCCGATGGACTGGAAAGAAGGACATCTCATCAAGATTCCAAATAAAGGAGATCTGAGCAAGTGTGAAAATTACAGAGGCATTACACTACTGTCAATACCAGGGAAAGTCTTTTACAGAGTGTTGCTGAACCGGATGAAAGACGCAGTAGACGCTCAACTTCGAGATCAGTAAGCTGGATTCCGTAAGGATCGATCATGCACCGGCCAAATTCCGACACTACGGATCATCGTCGAACAATCAGTTGAGTGGAATTCATCAGTGTACACCAACTTCATTGATTATGAAAAGGCATTTGACAGTGTAGATGGGAGAACGTTATGGAAAATTCTTCGACACTACGGAGTTCCTGAGACGATTGTCAACATTATCCGGAACTCATACTATGGACTACAGTGAAAAATAGTGCATGAAGGACAGCTGACAGATACATTCCAAGTAAGGACCAGAGTCAGACAAGGCTGTCTGCTCTCTCCCTTCCTCTTTCTTCTGACGGTCGACTGGATTATGAAGACCTCGACATCTGAGGGAAACCACAGCATATAACGGACAGCTCAGAACCAATTAGACGGTTTGGATTTCGCAGATGACCTAGCCGTCTTACCCCACGCGCACGAACAAATGCAGATGAAGACAACTCGTGTAGCAGCAGCCTCTCAATCAATAGGCCTCAATATACACAAAGGGAAAACCAAGGTCCTTAAACACAACACGGAGAACAGCAATCCAATCACTCTTGATGGCGAAACTCTGGAAGATGTGGAATCCTTCATATGCCTGGAAAGCATCATCGATGAACAAGGAGGTTCAGATGCAGACGTAAAGGCGAGGATCGGTAAAGCAAGGACAGCATTCCTTCAATTGAAGAACATATGGAACTCAAAACAATTTTCAACCAATATCAAAGTCACAATCTTCAGTACGAACATCATGACAGTTCTACTGTGTGGAGCTGAAACTTGGAGAAATACTACAACCATCATCAACAAATTACAAGTTTTATAAATAACTGTCTAAGCAAGATACTGAACATCCATTGGCCGGATACCATCAGCAACAGTCTTTTGTGGGAGAGAACAAACATGCTTTCAGATGAAGAGGAAATTAGGAAAAGATGATGGAAATGGATAGGACATACATAACTCAAATCATCAAACTGCATCATGAGGCAAGCCCTGGCTTGGAATCCTGAAGGGAAGAGGAAAACCGGAAGGCCGAAGAACACATTACGTCGGGTAATAGAATCAGATATGAGAAGGATGAATAACAACTGGAAAGAGCTTGAAAGGATTGTGTATTCATTTATTAAAATACTTATTAAGTCAATTTAGTGATGATTATCTTCTCTGAAACTATTATCTAAAAATATATTTCGACAGATAATCGATTGATCTTTAAATAATGAATTCAGTAGTATGAAATAACGGTAGTATTATAACAACTCTCTCGAAATCAATTTTGATTATGGTTAATTTTTGTCAAGCTTTTTTATTAACTTACTTAACAGACAATGTTATTCGACTAGTAACAACTCATCTATTTCTTTGTAATATTATGATCACTATCTTGTCTGTATAAACATGTATGCTTGATCACATGTAACAGCCTACGCACATATCTATCTCAGCTTAAATGTTGATAGGTAAAATATCGCTCGTTGAATCATTCTTTTCCCCATATACATATGTACTCGAATCCTATTAATAGCTTTTGTCTTCATGTGCCCTTATTCGATTTAACTATAAATTCGCCCCTCTGCTTCAAATTCGTTCTGTGTTTGTAGCTTTGTGATCCGTACTATCCACTAATAAACCGAAGTCGCCGCTTCTTATTACCTTCCGATATCAAACACCGATAGTATTTATATAATAACAATTATCAAGCTGATTGATTAACGAAGCTAAGTGATTACCGTATTTCGAAATTATCGTGAAAATTTCGTTTCAATTTTCAGTATATTTTTTGATTAATTTGTCTAACAATAGACTTGAAAACAATAAAATGCACTTTAAAAACAACAGCTAGTGAAATAAACTAGTTATTATCCTATGATAGTATTGTTCTTTATCGATTAATATAAGTTGAAGTTCACTGTATTATTGAATATAATACAGTTCGTTTTTGATAAAATATGTACAATCAGCATCAACATATAACATTAAATCATACTGCTCAACAAAAGTTCACCTGTCTCGTAAATACACTGCCATTTTGATGGATTTATGAGTATTTTAATCAGTAATGAATTACTATTAATTTACTCACTTATCAGACTTCGTGATTGTTATAACATGTGATACGAATGCTTATTGTTATATGTGGTGGTCGCTGATTGTTGTGTCGGAAACGCTTATCACTTATGCTCGGAATGAGGGACATCGCCAATTCCCACGACGCGAAAGTAAGAACACAAAGACTGTTATATGTGAAGATTTATTAACCCCAAAACACGACGACAACGATGACCACCTAGTCAAAAGCACACTCATTTATATATTGATTGTACACACACTTTGATTAATAATTAAGATGAAATCATATATATATATATACTCAGTTATCACAAATCACATACTGAGCATAGTTCATTTCAATCGAATACAAGAATATCGTAATATTATACAGAATAAAATATCGTACGAGAAAACAAAACCGAAAACTACACTGAATAATCATCACATTGAATCAGAACGGAAGTAGTGTTGAACATTAGGATAGATATTAACGACATTTGATGTCTGCTCTATGGTCCATTAGGTTAAACGTTCACCCTCAAGACTGAATGCCCTAGGTTCAAATCTACAAGCGAGATCGTAGATGCAAATTACTGAGGAGTCCCACAATAGGACAAACACAGCCATCCAGTGCTGTCAGGTTTCCAAAGATGGTCTAACATCAATCGGTTCATGATCTCAATGAAAAACTTAACATTCTTCACAACCCCTAAACTGATAACTCATAATTAATAAATCAATTGGATTTTAATTTTTTCTTTCCATCATAACAGTGATAAATGTTTCCTACATAGGTTACACACATTTAGTACACTAAATTACTTAATGAACGTTTAGATATAGATTTTTTTTCTTTCATAAAACAAAATATTTAAATAGGATTACTTTCAATGAGTTTAGTTTACTATATATCGATAGATACAAATTCAGAAACAAAAATATATTATATAAAAGACTTACATATTTGGTTTTTTGAATCCATTCATAATATCCAGAATTTCTAATTCTAAATAGAAATCCATAATCTTTATTTAATTGGATAATTTCATTTTCATATTTATAAACTTTTAATTGTAATTGCTTTTTAGAAGGATCATATGTTTTTAATAAACTAATCAATTTACATATTATATATGATCGAATCTGAGAACAAATGGAAAAATAGTTAAATAAATAAATAAATAATAAATGACTCTTCGAAAAAAGAAAGTAAAATTTAAAGGAAATTTCAAGAAATCATTCACCTTAGAAAACATTAATAAATAATTTTGATATCCTTCTTTCTATATTTAATTTCAGGGAAAAGAAAAAAAAAACAACAACACATACACACAGTTATCTGGTTGTTCAATTTTATTTGATGATAGAAAAGCTACTAATTAGCTTGTAATCAGTTTTATTATGTATTTATATGTTACTCATAAATTAATAGATTATAAAAATAAATAATAAGTTGAGATTTGTAGCTGATGATATAATGATCTATACCAATAGGTATTACAATTTTGTGTTGTCAACTTTACTATCATGATAAATGAAATTGTTAACTGAAAGATATTCTTAAATGTTAAATATATCTAGGTTATTCTGTGTGTTTACTGACAGTGCAGCAACAACAAACTGGAATCGCAGAGTATGGAATGGTCAGCTAACGAACTTCTATAACTGGGTCCCGTTAAGTAGAAAGAGAAACTTCATTCATTCTTTATGTTATTAAATACACCAAATATGCAGTACGAAATGCATTAACGAAGAACTCGCATTCCTCAAGAAAACCTTGACGGAAAATGGTTACCCAGAACGGTTCATAGAAAAGAATATGAATAGAAGTAATTACGAAAAGATAGCTAGTTGTTCCGTTCCGAAGAAAAACTTTTATGTAAATCTGGAATTTAAAGGTGATCGAACATCAGATGTGATCAAAAATCGTCTAACAACAACTATTAGAAGAACATTTAATGTGGCTAAACTGCGAATAACCTTCACTAGTAGGAACTTATTTTTTGTATCCATAAAAGATAAGCTTCCGCGTCTGGTCGCCTCTATGTGCATCTACCAGTTCACCTGCTCTTGTGGAGCAAGGTACATTGGCCGTAGCCAGCGCTTACTTTCAGTTCGGATACGGGAACATATCCTAGCTTGGTTCTATAAGGGTGAAATGAGTTCTATACTTGAACACCTAATCGACTGTGACCACTCTACAGATCCACAAATTGATTTTAAGGTTATTTAAATGATTCGTTCAGATCTATCCAGATTTCTTCGTATCCAACTCCTAAAAATAGCAGAAGCTCTTACCATTTAGGAGCTTAAACCAGAACTATGCGTTTATATTTTTCACAGACACACCTGGATAGGTTATGCGACTAATATGCATAAAGATGTGTTAAAATAAACAAGAAAAATAGATAACTTGTTGAAATATCCAGATGGTAGGAACAGATAGCCTAGATATTTTAAGTGTGCCGCCTTGGTTATTGAAGCACTAGTAGAATGACCTGTTCAAAGCAATCATTTATCTTATCAGAAATTGAATCCATGTAAGTGTTAACCAAATAATTGTAATGGTTTAGAGAATTCTTCAAATCATTCTTATTGTAAATTTATTATATAACACTTGAAAACATTCTGTAAATAAATTGATGTAAATTTTCATAATCGTTGAACTAACAAAATGGGTTTGTTTGTTTCTTTTTTTTTTGTTTTTTCTTCAAAAACATTTTCACATAAATGCATGTTAATAATTGTACTACTCCATAAGAATACATGTAAAATGATTTTGTTTGTTTGTTTAAGAATATACTGTGTTTCTGAAAATATAGTAAGATATAATAAGTACTATTGTGATACTGGCAAAACATTTCAATTCTTTTTTCTTCCTTATTTTTTTTGTTATTCTGTCCACTGATGGTAAAAATATCAAAGAATGTTCAAAATACTACTACTTAAACCTCTTCAATGAAGATGTAAAATTAGGAAAGACAAATATTGAAATAAATTTCGGCTAGAAATGGTAGGACTAAGCTTAAAAATGAGTATATGTATAAGTGTATTAAAAAATAAATATAGATGAGAAATATATTGTCAAACGGAATGTTTACTAGTATTATTGTGAACAGAAAAGTTAAGATTAAAAATAATATAATATATGTTGCAGTGAGATGTTAAACTTAGCTAATTTTTTGCACGTAAGACGTGGGTTTTTCTATTCACAATAAGCTGTTTGGAATTATAGATATAGACTATTGGATTACAATCTAGCCACCTAAATATGATAAACTAGTTATGGTATCTGTAGGTAATGAATTTGGTCAATAATGTTGCCATGTTTGCTTACTGTTGAAAATTCTTGCACTGAGATGAATTAATGGTATTTAATCCGATATCATTCTTTCATGAAGATTCTTTTACTAGTAATTTTCAATAAACTCTTATTTATGATGTTTAAAAAGTAATGATTATGAGGTTTTCATAAATATGTCATAGTTATTTTTTGCTACTCCAAAAATGACAGTTGCTATACCTGTTAACATTCACCATTTGATAATTGAGGAAAATCAAAGTAAAACACCGATTATCTTCTAGTGGTTAATATTCTCACAGAAACTAACTATTTTCAAGTTCTCTGAAATAAACAAATTCTAAGTGAAATTTACTTATGTGCACGTAGAGGTAGTGGATCACTGTTTTATTTGATCCTACATCAGACTGAAGCCGTTAATTTGTTTGAAAAATCAATAAAGCTGACTAAAAATCGAAAAACCTATTAACGTATTATCACGCATCAAATTTCTTGGATTTTTTTTCAAACGATAACCATCAATTTTATACTCTACACTAAAATTGTTCTATTTGAGAAACAGATTATTAGGAACTATTTACTAAAAATGAATAATTCAAGAAAATCCTTCTCCTATACAAATGAGAATATTCTTAATGACTGATTTTTTATTTGATCTGTATAAATATAAAGGTTTACATGCTTAACCAAGTCATTGTTTGATATTTTTGATGTTTAGAGTCATTATCTTAGTTTCGGTTAACTATAAACATTTCATAATAATTCAGACAATAACATTTGAGAATATGTATATGTTGCATTTTGTCATAGTGCTTTCAGCCGGCAAACTAATAAAAGCCTATCAACAAAGAATAATGAATTAGCCCGTCTTCAGGAATTGGTTATTAATGAGAAAGAGTTTACAGAAGATCGAATTCTTCCAGTATATTTTAATCAAATTTAAATTAGATTGATATATTTCACGACGACCATTCTTACACTTTATTCATCCATTGTAAGATTATATTGGTTGATTCAGAATTGCTAAGATTGTAGAGAGTGAATGTAGTTATCAAATAATAAAAAACATAATCCATTATTAACATAAATCTTTTATGTTTATCTATTCGAATTTGCTCTTATTCTATTAGCTTTATGTAAATCTTGTTAATATTTGAGATAATGAATCAATTGAAGTTAGACCATCATAGAAAACCTGGAAGCACTGAACGGCCGTTTCGCCCTATTGTGGGACTTCTAAGCAGTTCGCATCCACAATACCCATTCGCGAGATTCGAACACAGGATATATTAGTTTCGTACACGAACACTTCACCTCTACACCACTGAGCCAGCATCCACCGGTGTTACTGTTCAACTATAACTAATCCACGAAATTAAGTGGCACATCCATCATTTTCTTTAATGAGTTACTACCTCACGACAGATTCGGTTGAACTGAACTGGTCACTGCTTCTGACTAGAACTCCAGGAAATACCTTCTTTTGTTAAACTCTTAAGTCATTATGAAAGGAATGTTGCTTAGCAGTTATAACAACAATCCAGTTCAATATTCTTAGCAAAATTAATAAAATACTTATCTAAGATTACAACAGATAAATTATAAAATATATAGAATAGAAAAGAGTCACTTAAGATACTGTTAATTTTCTAAACCTTTTTTCTTTACAAATATTAATCATCTCTTAGGTAGAATCAATCATATTTCTTAGAAAGAATGTAACATTTCTATGCATTATATGTTACAAGTATTTTTGTGTTTTTTGTTGTTGTTGTTGTTGGGTTTCTAATCCTATTTAATTAATATAAACATACAGAATTTAAGTCATTTATATTTCTTCTGATTATAGAAATATGCTCTTAGCTCATTATTTTAACATTAGAAACCGTATATAAAATCATATAGATATTTGGTTTTAATGACAAGAAAACATTACAACAACAATAACAAAAATGGTTTTTTGGTAGTTTAATTCACAGACTGATTTTAGTCAGATAACTAATAAAAACCAGAAAGCGCTGGAGTTAGTCTCATTCCCATATGAGAATTCTTATCAGTGGCATCTACAACCTATCAGTGATGAAACCTAGGACTCACAGCCTCGTGGTTAACATGACTGATAAAGTTCAAACATTTCGTGCTTGAAGCAATTATTCGTCGAAGTTAATAAATGTTGGTCATTTAGTATGATTAATTGATCGAAACTAGACGTGTATACCATTAGATGTCAGCTCAGTGGTCTCAAACTAAAGCGTATGCATACGATATCGAAGACCCTGAATTGTGAGTGCGTATCATCAGTGATTCCTAAGCCATAGTGAAACACCTGTATAATGTTTCCCGATATTCAATCGCTATCTAACTGAAATAATTTGATGATGTAAGCCATAAAATTAAACAATCTCCTAAAACCCGTTCATACTAAACATGGTCTTCAAAATTAATGAAGATATAGAAATATAATTATGAAATTTTCTCTATCAATAGCTGAACATATCAGTTGATATTCACTTAATTCACACTCGATATTGATATCCTAACAGGAGAACAGTAACATCCTAAACTGTTGAAATTCAGGATAATAATTAGGATAAAATTGTTTTGCTGATGAAATTATAATCGTAAAAGTTTAAATCAATCTCAATAAATTAACTTAAAGTAAACGAACAACATGATATCATAATACTCAGCCTGATCGGAATTCAATCCATAGTTTAACAAATTGATAATAATCATCTATTTCAACTTCATTTATTATATCCAATTTCCACACTATTTAAGAGTGAAAAATAGATAAAGAATGACCATTAAAACTACTCTACAAGTTGACAGTCACAATACTACACACTGCAGTTTCTATTCTTCTGTTTTATCCAATATTTTTTTCAATTTAGACCATAAACCGATCAACGTCAGAGCACCATTAAAAAGCTGGGAGCATTGGATGGTCGTTTCGTCCTAGTATGTGACTCCTCAGCAGTGCACATCTACAATTCCGTACTCAGAGTTCAAACCCAAAACGTTTGGACTCGCGCTCAGAAACTCCTAAAATCTAGACCACTAAGCCGACATCCAACGGTGTGAGCGTCTAACTTCAACCAACCAACGAAGTTGTGCGACCACCTTTGATTGTCTCAGATAGATACATATCTCTCACTGCCACAGACTGAGCCCCATTGGTCATGGGCTTCTCATAAGAACTCTGAGAGCTACTTCACTAAGATATTCTTTATTAAGCACTTGATCTCAATGAAAACTTAACAATCGCCAAAACGCCATACTGAGTGCGCAATAGCTGCAAGCTTCGTAAAGTCGTTACCAGTGGACCTAATTCGTGTCAGGTGGAGACAGGTATCTACCTGAGTACAATGAAAGATGGTCACACGATTTCGTTGATTGATTGAGTTTAGACATTAACTTCATTGGATGCCGGCTTGGTGAGCTAGAGATTAAGCGTTCTCTCGCAAGATCAAATCTCCTGGCTTCTAACGCCGTGTGCAGGATCGTGGATGCGCACTGCTGACGAGTACCACAATGGGACGAAACAACCGTACAGTGCTTCCAGTTTTTCACTAGTAGTTTAACATCAATGGATTCATGAAGTCTTTTTTCTGAAATGTTTTGAGAATCTTTGTATGGTTTTCACCTTCAAAAACCAAATACGTGTATGAAAATGTATAAAGTTATGAAATTTATAAATTTGCTACAAGAAAATTTCAAATATTTGAATATATTTTCCATATCTTAATATTTGGAAGAAACAATATAAACTATGAAAAAGAAATTCAACTATTTACTTCTGCAGTACTCATCTTTGTTTAAAAAGTTAACAAAATTCAATGAATGAAATACACTTCTCTCTACCTTCGATGATACAGTATACACTTTCTATATATATATATGCACATCAATCTGCGATTAACACACTTTGTTTTATTAATGAAAATACATATGCTAAAACATGAGAATAATGAATAAGTTTTGCTAATTACAATTGACTTGGATAATTAAGTTGTTTTAGTAAAGTAAAACGAGATAAACTTATGAATTAATCATTAAATATGTTGTAGGCGAAAGTGTATTTTGTATATATTTTCCTGATCGTTAAGTTACGCACATTTATTTATCTTTTATAGGTATCATTACCAAGGTTTGACTTGATTGATTGTTATAAATAAAAAGTAATATGTCGGCAAAATTCTAATGAGTAGAAAAATTAGATTTTCTGACGTTTCACGAATCAGTATAAGCCATTTCTTCAGAGAATAAATAACCAAATTAAAATTAATCCAAGTTTAAATAGTACAAGAAAAAACAAAAATAATATTTTCAATAGTTGAGACCGTGAGTCAACTGATGCTAGACTATCATAAAAAACCTGTAAGCACTGGATAAAAAACCCGTCCTATTCTAGGATTTCACAGCAGTGAGCATCCACAATCACGCTTCGACAGAATCGAACCCTAAGACCATCAAAATTAGTATAAAAACCTTAGATTTTCTGTAAGTGAAAAAAACTTGGAGTGAAGCATTTCTCCTATATTTCGCTCCGTTTTTCTCATGTTCAAGTCACTGTGTAGATTTAGCTTGAGGGTTACTGGAAGAGATAAGGAACCAAATCTAGCGTTCAATTAGAAGATTTATGAAAAACATTTTAGGTACAATTAATCATTAGTAACAGGTATAAATCACTGGACATAAATTAACTATAAAGGTCTGTCACATTTAAATGTATACTGATATCCAATATTCGAATTATAAAATATGAGAGTGTTTAAATATCAATTTCATACGTACACAACATCACTGACATTTAATATGTTATATAAAAAGCACCTCTTAAAATGTTTATTTCATTAAGCCTTTTCAAATAACGATATGCTGCACACTTGGTAACAAAACTGGTAAGCTATTTCCAAATCTTATCACTGCCGGTTTCTTATTCACTGCCAAAACTAATTTATATTCAAAAACCTTAACCAACAGATTTTTTACACAACAACCAAAAAAATAATGTTCTTAATGAACTGTGAATGGTAATGATAATCAATAATTTATAGGACAGAACAATAAATCACGGTTAATTACTGATAATTTTAGTTTCAATTCAGATATTTAAAAAAGTAACCAAAGGTAATTTTTCAAAAAATATTACAGAACCCATAACTTCTCGGTTCGAATCTCGCGGATTGGGATCTTGGATGCGCACTGCTGTGGAGTCCTATACTAAGATGAAACGGTCGTCCAGTGTTTCCAGCTTTTTCATGTTGGTCTAGCTTCAATTGACACATGCATTCATCTATTAAATTCTTATAATATTTACAAAAAACCTTTTTTTATATTATTCAATACATGCTCACTAGTGACTGGAGTCAAGAATTATTTCTGGAATTCTAATGAGAATTATTAACCAGCGGAGTTCGGCGAGGTCTGTTGTGAGATAGTATTTCACTGAAGACATTGTTGGACGATGTTGCAATTTTGTGAATCGTTTGCAGTTGGACATTAACATCTTTAAATATCGGCTCAGTTGTCTCGAGGTTAAGCCTTCGCACGCAAAACCATTAGATCCCGTATTCGAAACTGACGGGCTGGGATCGTGAGTGCTAATTTCTGCGAAGTTCAATACTTAGACGAAACTGCCATTCAGTGCTTCAAGGTTTTCAATAGTGATCTAATTTTAATAAATTCTTTCAATTTTCCTAAAAATTTAGAAGCTTAAATGAAAAACAGCAAAATTTCTATTGAAATTTATAAAACTTACTTGAATGTTTAAAGATTTATTTAAAACTTTCATAATTTTTTTCATTTTTTCATCCGTTAAACATTTAATATATGAATTAAAAATTGTAATTCTTAATTCATTGGATTCAGTAGTATTTGAAAATACATTCCATAGAATATTCTGGTAATTTTTGTTTTCATATAAAAAAAAGAAAATAGAAGAGAAAAAAAACGATAGACATTTAAGCTGAAATATAACTGAGTAGTTTTTTTTTTTTTTTTGCTTGTTTGTTTGAATTTTCATGCATTATTTAATCAAGAGAAGAAAAAAAATGAATCCACCCTTAAAAATTAATTTGTCAAAAATAACTTACCCTTTTTTTCTAATTTATATTTTATTGATTATTTTATAGAAAATAATAATAAGGATAATAATAATAATGTGGAATCTATATGAATCATAGAATTAAACGAAATGCTTACAAGAATTTTGATTTGCGCACAGTTTTTCATCAACTAAGATGTAAATTATTTTCGATTTACGAATGAGAAATTGAGTTACTTCAATTGAACATAATGTACTTTATAAAAATTGAAAGTAATAAATTCTATCAAAAGTTATGTCACACTATGTGGCAGGTTTTATTAATTGTTTATTAAGAAATTTCATATCAAATAACGGCTGTCTACGCAAAATACTTCGGATTCGTTGGCCAGACACTATCAACAACAACCTACTATGGGAGAGAACAAAGCAGATCCCAGCGGATAAAGAAACCAGGAAGAAGCGATGGAAGTAGATAGGACACATATTGAGGAAAACACCCAACTGTGTCACAAGGCAAGCCTTCACATGGAATCCTCGAGGACAAAGGAGGAGAAGAAGACCAGAGAACAGATTTAACTGAGAAATGGAGACAGATATGATAAAAATGAACAAAAATTGGATAGAACTGGAAAGGAAGACCCCTTACACAGTGGCTGGTATGCAGCCTATGCTTCATTTGGAGGAACAAGCGTAAGTAAGTAATAAATTACGTTTTTGATTGAGATCATGAACCGATTGATGTTACCAACGGTGGCTTAACATCAATCGGTTCATGATCTCAATCAAAAGCTTATTAATCTCCACAACTCCTATATCGGTAATTAACATGTGCTCTTCAGCGACTAGCTTTGTGAGGAAATCCTCGGAGTTCCACCAGTGGAACTAACCCGTGTCGGTTAGAGATAGGTATCTAACTCAGTATAATGGGAGATGGTCGCTCAATTTAGTGGATTAGTTGGTGTTAGACACTAACACCATTGGATGCCAGCTCAGTGGTGCAGTAGGTTGAGCGTTCACACACGAGACTGAAGGCCCTGGGTTCAAATCCTGCGAGCGGGACCGTGAATACGCACTGCTGAGGAGTCCCACAATAGGACGAAACGGCCGTCCAGTGCTGCCAGGTTTCCCACGGTGGTCTAACATCAATCGGTTTATGATCTCAATAAATAAATAATTGAGTTGTGCTGTGATTGAATTGAAGCATAGGTAATTTAATACTTGAATTCGTTAGTCGATTAAAGCTAGACCACCATGGGAAGCATAGAAAAACTGAATGGCTGTTTCGTCCTATTGTGGGACTATGTTGATAAATATTGAATATTTCAATTTATTAATACAGAATAATGTAAACACAATAAATAGATTCTAGTGAGAAGCCGTGACCAGTGGACTTCAACCGAGTCTATTGTCAGATACTAACTCAACATAGACAATCGTGGATGTGTCGCCCGATTCCGTGGTCTAGAAATTAAGCGTTCGCGCATGACACCGATCGGTCCTGTGATCGAATCTGGTGGTCGGGATCGTGGATGCACATTGCTGAGAAGTCCCATCCAGTGCTTCTAGGTTTTTCATGATGGTCTAACGTCAATTGACTCATCAATTCGACTATTAAATTACTATAATATCCACTAACCCGCTATCTGATTATAAATTTTTATTATCAATGCAATAAACATTAAACATTCGTTTATGTAAACACCATTTTGAATAACATAAAAAATATCAGAAATAGAAATTATGTAAAGGAAATTAACAATAACGAAAAAGATCATTAATAGTTAAAACAAACTTACATCGATATTTTGTTCACATTGGAAATGTTCAATTATTTGTCCAAAATATAATCGTAAATTATCATTATATTCCATTTTATAATCAATTAAAATTTTTTGAATAATTGAAATAATTTTTTGAGAAGATAAAACTTCACCAACGTTTGCAATGATCTCTAGGGTTTTTAATAACTATATTGATAATGAAAAATAATCAAAAAATGAAATGAAAAATTTATCTGTAAAAGTTTTCGTTAAGTTCATGAGTCAATTGAAGTAGGCCATTAAGGAAAACATGGAAGCATTAGATAGCTGTTTCGTTGCAGTGTGGGATTCCTCAGTATTGCGCATTCACGATCCTGTCAAGCAAGATTTGAACCCAGGACCTATCAGTCTTGAGCGCAAACGCTTGATCTTTAGACCACTGAACCGTGTCTGTTGTGAGATAGTAACTCACTGAAGGCAGTGGTGGATGGTGACTCGATTTCGTGGATTAATTGAAGCTAAACATTAACATCGTTTGGTATTGGTTCAGTGGTCTAGAAGTTAAGCGTTGGCACGCAAGATCGATTGATCGTGGGTTCGAATGCCTTGTACGGGATCGTGAATGAGCACTACTGAGTAGTCGCCCACTAGCACGAAAGGGCTATCCAGTTCTTCCTGGTTTTCCATGGTGTTGTAGCCTTAATTGACTCATGAACTTAACTACTAATTAACAATAATATCCACAAAACCCTTTTCTGATAAAAATTTTTTTGTAGTTAAATGAGAGAAAAATATTCATTTTAAGATATTGTCATCATGTTTTTATGATATAAATTAAATTTACTAATCAAAAGTCATTGTAAAGTTTAAAACTAAATGGATTTTTTTAGAAAACACGATATGACCTTACATTTATTAACAGAATAAGTTCAGTATTTGTAAATGTTGAAATATTTAGTACGTAGTGTATGTATACCTGACTTAGTTTCTAGGTCAGTTAACCTTTCATTATAGCTGGTAGTAATAACGTTTAGCAGTAAAGAGAGGAAGAAAAAGAAATAAGTAATTAGTTATCAGATCTTATATTTGAAATTTGAGGTCATCCGTTATGTTTCCTATGTTCATGTACTTCATTAAATATAGCATTTTCAACCATTTTCTCCTTCATTTAATGTTATATTATTAGTGTGTAATTTTAAATAAACACTTCATTACATCTATGGTTGTCAACAATTATCTTCTAGGAACATATTAGCATACCTTAGCTTGATGTATGAGAATATAGTACCAAATGAATTTTCAGTTTAAATATGAAAAAATAAACTACCTATTATGTAAATTAAATTTTAAAAATGAAACCTAATGAACGGAAAAATAAATGGTCAAATTCAGTAATTACATAACATATTACTTAGAAAATTTCACCATTATTTGATTAATAAAACGTTTTCAAATGTTAAAACTACATAGTAACTAATTAAGTGTAATCATAGTTTTTCTCAATTCAACATGCTCATTAGGATCTAGTAAAACTTCTCCTTTTGTTTTTAGGTCAGATAAGAAAACTTCATTATTTTCACTACTTTTTGTTATTTCGGAATTTTACTAATTGAAAATTTAACTATGTTTAAGGTGATAGTCAATTTAAAAGAACACACATAAATCTCAGAGATTAATCTAAAGAAACTTTTAATTTCATATAATTATTCAGTTATGTTTAACCTTAGCAGCTTTTAAACAATACAAACTGAAATGACTAGTATAAATATTTGCCTTGTGATTATTTTTAAACTAATTATCCCATACTACATGCAAATTCTGATCACTGAGTGAAGTTTCAATATGTAAGCCCCCTTTAACCAACTCCGATAGTATTTATCTGTTGTATTAATCGTAATTTTACTGAAAAGATAAACATTAGGTTTTTGGCTTAACACGACCAAACTAATGACGTATGCACCATTACGAGTAGTGTACAGTTCCGATTTGCGTTTTTTCTTATTACTCCTGCCTGTTGAATCCAGAACACTAATCTCCGATTTCGTGATATGAGTTGTATATTTCAAACATACTGAGTTTATATACAAACAAATTCGACCACATCATACCATAAGATATAAAATAACATATGTACAAAATCTAGCCAAAAGTGTCTATGATTGTAGGAGATTGTAACTAATAAATTGGGAATATCTCAAATAATAATGTTCAATAGGTTCGATAAAAGCTTATATTAAAGGGAATATGAATATACGTATAATATAATTACTTAATAGTCATTCATATAATATTAGTCCATAAATAATTTCTAACGTTTACCATCCATTTATTCTCGTTTATATATAACAATAAAGATTTTATCTGATAAAAATTTCTAAACATATTACGTCATCACAGAAAATGAAAAAGAGAATAGAGTAAAGGTTTCTTTTCGATATTATTTCTTAAAATTATATAATTACATTTATACTTATTTCACACAGTATAGTATATATTAAAATCCCTAATTTATTACGTCATTAACAAGTTGAACAAAAGTTAGTTGAAAATTTCAAATCTCAAATAATAATCACACAAATATTAGTTAAACATTAATTAATTACAAATTAAACAAAAACCACACAGAAATAAAAATATGTAAAATATTGTTGTTACTTAGGTAATTATATGTAAAAGTGATGTTTTTTAAAAAAAAAAGAGCAAAAAGTGTTACACTAAACAATGCCCTTAAAATAATCTTGTTCATAGAAAAGAAAAACTAGTATGTATTTTAAAGATATAAAGGGTATAAAATGATAAGAGTTCATTTCCTTTCATAATGTTTTGTTGTTGGTGTTATTTTACCATGTCAACAAAACCTACTGTATATGATTCAATCAATGTTAAAATGTCATTTATTAAGTATAATTCACATGTATTGTATAGATAATAATCTGATTTCGGAACTAATTAAACCTCTTCAATATGTAACATAATTAAACATTATTCTTTATTTCCTCTTTAAATAGCTAATTAAAACAAACATGAAACAAAATTTTCTTCTTTTAAAGATGTTATCTGTTTTTTTATAATTGAAAAATAAAGTAACAAAAATTAATGAATTATAGCAGTATTTTGTTAATTAATAGGTGAAATGTATGTTTTCATTATGAATAGTATGATGTTCGTGTTTTTGATGAATAACTTCGATAAATTTTATACTTCTATATTTTTTAATAATACATATTTATAAATAACAATAAAGAATGAAATTGTTGAATATGTTGAATATGACCATGATGATGGACACAACGGTTTATAACTATGTGAAAACATGAATCTTAGGAAGTTTCATTATTTACTACTTGAATATCTGAGTTACCTGTTTCTGGCCATCTAAATATTTAATCAAGTCATATGTTTTTTTTTTTGTTTTAACTCATTTTTATGCCCATTAGTCTCATAACATAACCCATTCAGGTGCATTTGTGAAATGTTTACTACATTTCACTGTACAAGTTACATAACAGCCCAATTATATATGCCGTAATTGTTCGAATATGCATCGAAAAGAATAAACATTATTCAAATGTCGATTCCTGAATTGCTAACATCTAACTGGCAACCACTCTCAAGGGTCGATAAAAAACTAACCGAACTTGTTGGAATACTTTGTGTTGAGAATTCAATATTGTAACAAAAATATATGTTATTACCAATAATAATACTAACAATATTTATTGTTATTTTACATTTACAATAGAAAGGAATGATAATTAATGTCATGATAATTGGGATTTGTGAAGATTGTAGTAATCAATACCAAAGCACCAAGTAGTATGTCGAACACATTGGTTGAAAACAAAATTATTGCAACCCTTCCGGTCACTGCTTCTCATTATAACTCTAGTAAATTCATTTTGAAGCTAGCTTAATCCGTGTCATGTGGTGACAGTTGTCCACTTCAGCTAATGGATGAAGGGTTGCATAAGATCATAGATTGACTGAAGTTAGATATTAATACCGTTGGATGCCGACTCAGAGGTCTATGTGTTAAGTATTCGCTAGCGATACCGAAGGTCCTCAGTTCCAGTTCGGTGTGCGCGATCGTGGATGCGAACTGTTGTGAAGTCCCATATTTCAGTCAACTGCTTACATGTTTTCATTGGTAGTCTAGCTTAGATCAACTCATTAGTTCAACTACTAAGATGACCAATTTGTTAACCAACAACTAAGGATTTTTTTCAAAGGTTTAATTGAGTGACGGGTATAAAAATTTACGTCAAGATGAAAAACATATTGAAAATATGAACAAAAGAAAAGAACACATAATAAAAGTCCCAACAAGTCATGATACATTAATATTGCATGAAAGAGTAATGTCATTTTAAATGATTACCTTTTTGTTGTCTTGTAAATCAATTGCATTTTCAATAATGTCTACCATTTCTTTGATTATTTGAGATTCCATACATGATGGATGATTTTCACAAAAATGCTTTATACTTAAACTGACATAATAAACTGTATAGTTGTATAAATGATCTGTTAACAAGCTCTAAGTGCAAAAGATATATGAAATCAATTCAATAGTTATCCAGAATTATATTGATGTATAAATGGATTATCGAAATACATATTTAATCGTTAATTATTTATATAAGTACAATAAGGTAAGATGAATGGAGGTTATGGAGGCTATGCATAAAAATTCAGTTTTTCACTGACATTCCTGTTAGCATGTACTCGATGATAACATCAAAATGTCCACTCCACATTTATGTAACATGCCTATTCATTACAAACCCTCGAATATTTCTGTTTAGTAACATCGATACCAGTATTGGTTATACTAATGAATTGACTTATAACTACCTTTTAGTAGAAGGTGACTTGTCAAAATCCTAATTTTTAAATCAGCAAAATATATAATGTACAACCGACAGACGAAACTCCCACCTCAACCTTAATGTAACTAGACCTAGTATTTGGACAAACTGCAAAGAACAAAGTGTCCCATGGCTGTACCCAAAATTTTTATAAATTGAATTCGCAAAATATAACTCTTTATCACTTTTCTAATGGACAAGATGAACTACTAGGTTACGCAGCATTAACTCAACATCAACAGGCAGGCAACTTTCTTAATTATCCACCAACTCAATTTCAGCGAATAAGTTCACGTTACTTAAATAATGATTAAACTTTAGACATCTCTGGTCCCTCTTTTATTTCAGATTGTTCAAGTCAAAACCCATACGATCAAGCATGCATTCTAAACCATAGTTCAGTCACCTCTAAAATACATAACATCGATAACAACGTTCTCGTTGTTTACACTACATATTTCCTTTTTAAACTAATTGCTTATCAATTACCGTTCACTCATAAATAAGATTCCAGCCTTATGAACTATAGCTTTACTATCCAAACCTTTTTTATACTTGTCACTGAAACATGGTACTCTCCTTCAATGTTTGATTAGGAGCTAAATATCCAGAACTACCAGCTCTATCGCTGTAACAGAGAAATCAAACTTTTGGGTGGCTATCTTATATAGGTCTTGGATTACCCGACAACTAATAAAGTCGAAAACGGTGTCTTGAAAAGTTTATATGAACCGGTCTAGATATCAGTCAACACTCCGAATCATAATCTTCTCCTGGGATGTACATACAGAGTCCCGGATACTTCGGACAATCTGAATGATCTTATTGTTAATGCCTTTATACATGCACCTGATCTAAACTTCAATAATGAGGTTAATACAGAAGATTTCGATTACACTGAAATACATTGAAATACCGGTAGTTGTCAGTCATGTAATGATGAGTTCTTAGCAACAACTAACGTGCACTCCTGGTCACAGTAGGTTCGCAACCCGACAACGCATGATAACACAAATGATCTAATATTTTTTTAGAATTATCATGCCACTCACTATACAAAAATGCAATGAAATTGAAGACTTTGACCATAAACTAGTAATTGGTGCCCTCCGTATCTGTCCCTCTTATAACCATCCCATACAATAAACCAGTCAACATAGAGATTATTAGCATACTATCTAGGACCTATTAAACTCCCTGTTGAGATTCTCAGAGTGGGATTCCTCATTCTCAAGTAATAGTCTAGTGGATGCCATCGACACATTCTATCTGACCAATAACTCTTGCTTGGATTCCTGTACACCTCTTAAAACTTACAGGTTTAGAAAGCCTTATGAAATATTTGTACCAGTTAAATATCGTAATAAATTAATGTGCTTGCACATGTAAGTTTATTCCATTCCACAAGTGAGATTAAACGAACTTCAAAAGTTCGATCGTTTTTATTGAAGAAACCACTAAACGAACCTCTCTGCCTTCTGTTACATTACACTTACACCGTCTCTAGCAACTTTAACTACTTTAACGAATATCTAACACGAAAAGTTCATCACAATAACTTGACACACGTATTATTGTACACAGGACTAACTGACTTATCATGTTAATTATTGCTTTTGTTGTTCCGGGCTCTCTGTTTTCACTTTATTTTCTCTAGTTGAAGATGTTTGTAGTCAGTTCGTTTTGAGCAGAAAATGACTTTTAATATACCATTCATACCTCGACAGAATGTCCACTTAAAAGAAATTAAAACTTTTCGATTGATGCATTTTATTGCTGTAATACGTGTGAAAAATGTACTACCTAAAATTTTTTGATCTAGAACACTAAATAATCTAATATATTCCACATGTCTTCCACATTTAATATTACTATCAATCTGATTATATATATATATATATATATATATATATATATATATATATATATATATATATATATATAGGAAGAGAGAGAGTTACTGTTATGTATACGTGAGCTGAATGAATATGCATGTTAATCTTTACCGTAACCTAGTCGTTTCTGATATATTTTGTTGCTAGACAAGTTCTAATCTCTAGAATTCTTGGGTTTTGGAAGAATATCAAAAAGCTTTTCTCAAAAAATCATTCTCTACTGATACATTTTGGTTTTCTATTTACCAATAGCCAATACTTATTCAGTTTCTATAATTAACCATAGTTAATGCATAATCATTTGAGAATGGACTATCGGATTATCACCTAACCCTCCTATCGCATACACACGAATAAATGCAGATGAAGACAGCCAACATAGCAGCAGTCTCTGTATCAGTAGGCCTCAACATACACAATGGGAAAACCAAGGTCCTTAAACACAACACGGAGAACAGCAATCCAATCACTCTTGATGGCGAAACTCTGGAAGATGTGGAATCCTTCACATACCTGGAAAGCATCATCGATGAACAAGGAGGTTCAGATGCAGACGTAAAGGCGAGGATCGGTAAAGCAAGGACAGCATTCCTTCAATTGAAGAACATATGGAACTCAAAACAATTTTCAACCAATATCAATGTCACAATCTTCAATACGAACGTCAAGGCAGTTCTACTGTACGGAGCTGAAACTTGGAGAACTACAACAACCACCATCAAGAAGATACAAGTATTTTTAAATAGCTGTCTACGCAAGATACTCGGTATCCAGGACAGGGTTGGATGGAGAATTCTGGTGAGCGGCCTATGCTCCTTTGCGAGGAGTAACAGGCGTAAGTAAGTAAGTATGTACCTTTAACAATAATGCACAGAGATCTTCCAATATGATTATGATAACTAAAATGTATTTGATGTTTTAAAGTATTTGTACACACTATTTTAATATAATTTACTTTACAATTAACAAACAAGTAAAATTTACCTTGATCTCTTTCATCAACTCAATGGTTGGTTTTTTCATTATACTAAGATGGTTAATCCATTCAAGTTGTTTATATTCATTTTTTGCATTAATAATAAAATGATTTATAATAAAGATTATCGATGATTCAGTTTGAACCTCCAACATAATATTTTCAAGAAAATTTCTGTAAAATAAACCAGAAGTAATTCACATAAATAAAAATATATTGACATTGTATTCTGTACCCATGTAGAACATAAAGTATGTTCTTCTAACATGTTTTGTATTTGAACGATCTCATGAATTACGGTTCAAAGAGAAGTATAAAGCAAAAAAAATTATTGATAACCAAGAAAGGTTTAGGAATATTATTAGTATGAAATTAATAGTCGTTTACCTTGATTACTTAATCGCTATCCAGTGAATAAAATAGATTAACCCATCATTTTATCAATGTACTTCGAAAATGACCAGTCTAAACGACATATGATTCTATGGTTTACTACTACTACTACTACTACTACTACTACTACTACTACTACTACTACTACTACTCTTACTACAACAACAACTACTACTACAAATAATAATAATAATAACACTATAAGATTTCACTATCAACATATACATTGTAGCTACAAATATATCAAATGAAATAAAAGTAATGTCTCAAACTTAATTTTAGAGATTAAAATAGATCAGAAATCTCGATATTGTTCAGTTAGTCATACACAACTTCATTCTGACTATCACGTTTATAAACAAACTATAAACTTCAATACTTATACCAATCACTAATGTATCTTACAGTTAAACTAAACTAGGAATATTTAAATTTAATTGTTTTAGAAGTGAATTTTTATTTCCTAAAGTCTCATTTAGTTGAAGTTATTGTTACAACAACGATTTTAAATTTCTGAAGAAACGTTTGACAGTTAAAGTTTTTGTATTATATATGTAATATGTACTGATCATTGTATGTAATAGAAAATGTGTGACACGATTCTTGTAACTATGTTGTTAATATGTACTGTGAAACCTATTTTTTTAATGACCATGCTTAGTTTGTTCGTTTCTATGCCTTTTTGTGATCGTTAAACTCGTGTTCATTAATGAATGGTACTGTCTATTGGATTTTCCATTCACTAATATATTTCATAACATTAACTTCACCTTATCACTTAGTTTTACTCCAATTAGGTAACATGATAGGTGTTATCCTTGTTTGTAATCCACGTGTTAGTTAATTATTTATTGTGACAAGACAGCTAAACGCTACAGAGTAAGTTTTCTTAACGATTTTATTATCATCACAATAGTAGCACGTATCCAGGTCAATTGTAAAGACCTAAGAAATATATTGTGTATTGAAAGAACCATAATATATGAACAGGAACAAATAAATATGACGATGTGTTAACTAAAGTAAACGAGAAATACTAAATTAAGTTATCAGTGAAAAATGTTTGTCACGAAAAGAAAAAACAAGGTCAAAATTTACATTATAATAATATTCATACAAAGCTATAATAAAAAAAAATTGAAAATAGATATTTCTTGGATAGGTCGAAGTAAGACATTAAAATAGTTGGATGCCGGTTGCGAGGTCCAAGGGTTAAGCGTTCGCGCGCGTGACCGGAGTTCCTGAGTCAATTGAAGCTAGACTAGTAGATCTTGGGTTCGAATCCCGTGAGGCGCGGTCATGAATGCTCACTGCCATGGAGTCCCACAACAAGACGAAACCGCTGTCCAGTGCTTCTAGGTTTTCCATCGTGGTCTAGCTCATAGCCTCAACTATTGAAACTACTAAAATCTCCACAAAACCCTTTCAGACACTAATCGACATATGCTCACTAGTGACTGGCTTCAAGATATATATCCTGGACTTCTAGTGAGAAGCAGTGACCAGTGGAGTTCAACCAGGTCTGTTGTGAGATAGTAACTCACTGATGACAATAGTGGATGTGTCGCTCAATTTCGTGGATTAGTTGAAGTTAGATATTAACACCGTTGGATGCTGGCCGGCTCAGTGATCTAGAGGTTAAGCGTTCGCGAGTGAGACCATTAGGTCCTCTGTTCGAATCTGGCTGGGCATGTTCGTGAATGTGCAATGCTGTGGAATCCCATACTAGGACGACATGATCGTTGAGTGTTTTCAGGTTTTCCATGTCTGTGTAGCTTTGATTGATTCATGAACTCAACTATTGAACTTACTATAATATCCACAAAACCCCTTTTTGATATTAAATATTTCTTCGTTTTTTTTATCTGTTTTATCAAATATCTGAATAAGAATTTTCACATTTAAATATTCATTTATTTGTATTAACAAATAAATGTGCTCACCTAATTTCTATTGTTTGAATACTTTGTTCCCACGTATTGTATACTATTTTCCATTGTTCATAAGTTAAATACTTCAATTGTTCAATAAAATAATTGAATTTCTTAGGTGAATTCATTATCATATTAATATAACTATAATTTGTGATATTATTTTCTATAATTAAATTATTAACCAATGATGTTTGATTTTTATCGGGTACTTCAATATGCATTTCAGATATTCCATCAACTAAAAAAATTAAAGTATAAACGTTTATAAAAATGGTAAAGTTTAACTTCTCAAAAAGATAAGTTCATTATGAATATATGTAGTAAAATCTGAGAACCATAAAGTAAATGTCAGTCAGTAGTCTCAGACTTTATTGTTCTTTCGTTTCTATACCAATCATTCTTTGTTCTCATTCTCTTTCCTTCGACCTTCTTAACTTTCTGCTGCCAGATATTCTATTCCTGACTAGCGTTATATACCACTTATGTAGATCTACTTAGCACACACCACACATATATGTTCATAGCTTGTATAATTAATTGTCCATCAATTAATTGCTCAAAAAGTGCATACATGGTTACGATTCAAAATGTACTGTAAAATCGATAATCAAGCATATATTTAAGTTGTTTCATTAATGAAGTTTTATCTATGATCAAATAAAGTCTCATTTGTTTTGAAGTGACCAGTTGTTCGAAATAAGGATCTTAAAATCTTTGATCAGCGTTTTTAAAACAAATTCTTTATATACAAATGTACTGCTAGTCTTTATGTTTTTATAGCTTCGGATATCATTTTAGTCGTATTTAGTAATAATCCTTCATTCAAAGTGTAGAACATTCACCTTAATTTTTTTAGTTATTTGAAAATTCCTGTTCATAACTAAAACTGTAAATGATCAGTCTCCTTTCGAAATATAAAGAATCTTAGCATGTTTCCTCGATATTGACAGATGTAATCACACTGCGTCTAAAAATACTTGGGACGGATTGACAATGCCATCGCAAACCTCATAGGATGTGTATATATCAAAAAAACTGATTAACTGCAGTTTATAAAATCAACGACAAGGTTCAATCAAAGAATTCAAATAAATTATAATTCACTCCGTTGTATAAGCCAGTAGATGTTTGGACATATACTGTATCACTTCGAAACAAAGGATACTCTATCAAGTCTCAATATGAAAATCGATACTGAAACGCAAGTACATTCAGCTGAAAATTTTCAAACAATATAAAAGTATCTTGGATTCCTCTGTTGCGCACTTTTCAAGTTTACCACATTTACTTTATAATTTCATCTTTATAAATTAAGCAAAACACTGATTAGGATTTTACAAAACTATTTGAATAAACGTATCTATTGTACATAATAAAAAGATTCACATAGAAAAAGCTGATTTTGTCAAAAAATAATTACATTATCAATTATTTTAATGAATTATGGGAAAAGTATCTCACAAAAAATACTATTATAATTTACTTTGTTTATAATCTACTGAAATACTAGATTATTTAAGCCTATCTTTAAATGATTCTTCACTTCTAAAAACTGATGTGTTCTACAACAAAATTGATTGAAAAAAATATGCATTTCATTTTCGCTCTAACTAATAATTTTAACATTTTTTCTAAATGTACTTACTTACGCCTGTGATCCCTAATGGAGCATAGGCCATCAACTAGTATTCTCTAACTCACTCTGTCCTGGACCTTCTTTTCTAGTTCTAAATAATTGTTCTTCATTCTTCTTATATTAGTCTCTATTTCTTTGGTTTTTGTTGTATTGGCTTTCGAGAACGACAAAGGAGCCGAAGAGTTTCAGCTAATCAGAACATGATGGAGCTTTCTAGAATATTAACGTCGTATGCTACTATTGGTCAGTAGCATAATATACCTCTCAGCGAATTGGCCAAAATATAATGTTGACTTAGCAAATGCTAACATTTATAAATACCCGTGATTTTCTGTACACATTTATTCTTACCAAATAAACACTTCTTCAGTTTTTCTTCTGTCTTCTGACATGCAATGGTGAAGTTCAACGTTCGAGTGTCGTAGTTGTAAACTGTATTCTGTGTTAATCAAGTAGCGAACTTAACAGTTTTCCTCTTCCCTTTTGGCATTGAGGATTTCAAGTGACGGCTTGCCTTGTGACGCAGTTGGGTGCTTTCCTCTATGTATGTCCTATCCAATTCCATCTTTTCTTCCTGATTTGTTATTTCGCTGGGACCTGATTTTTTCTCTCCCATAGTATGCTGTTGCCGATAGTATCTGGCCAACTGATCCGAAGTATTTTCCGCAGTTAACTGTTAATAAATACTTGTATCTTCTAGATGATTGCTTTCGTAGTTCTCCAAGTTTCTGTCCGATACAGTAGAACTGTCATGACATTGATGTTGATTGACAGTTGTTTTGAGTTCAAGATGACATAGAATGTCATAGAATTCCACAAAGTAATTTCATGCTGGAAAGCCAGATTTTGATATATTTCATCCTTACATATGAACGAAATATATATCACTTTTTTAATTGTATAAACTTGTTATTGTATACTTCTCTATTGATCCATTTATGTTGTTTGTATTTCTACTTTTATGATAAGTGAATGTTTTAAATTATATTAGTTAGTAACATAGTAATTTGAAGCTTATTCTGATCTTTTAATAATACATTACATTTATATATAAAGATGAACAGTACCAAAATCTGAATTTCAACCAAATGGAATTCTATGATATAAAACGTCGTTCATAAGAATTAGTTTGAAACATTTTAACAATAGCTGGATATACTATTAATATATATATTTTTCAATATTGAAATCTACTGCTGTTTTTTCATCATTAGAACGAATTTATACAACGTTTTGTTTCGATATTGTTCAATGATGTATGAATAGAAGTTTTAACTTCACCTACATTTATTCAGCTCAACGTTTTACATCAAAGTAGCAAAAAGAATACAGTTGAAATCAAAAACACCATGTTTTAATTGATATTATTTTCTATCTTTGATATTTTAAGTATTATATATAGGGAAAATAAAATATTTGCAAGTTTGCAAGTGATATCTATCACTGATTGATCTCTGTTAGTTATTCAAAAAAAAAAGAGATCATGGACACTTATTTCATCTTAGCGTTTAACTCTTCAGATGATGACCATCAAGATATTTCTGCGAAATGTTGTCGATGTGACTTATGACAAGATTAAAACTCAATCAATATATTTGAAAAACATGAGCTAACACTAAAATCACTCAAAAACAAATAATTGTTTACTGATTTAATATTTCTCAACAATAATATCAATTAATTTACAAAGTCATAAAACTTCATTTTTTTAGTGACCCATTATCTGACTCCAGTTTGATAGTTTCTGATTGCTATCGAAATATATATGTCGCCAGTCCTCGTATTTAATTGGCAACTTATTCCGCTTCAGTTTCTAACGGAATTAAATAAGTCAAATACGAGAATGAAGTTTTGAATACGTATATTTTGTACACTAATTGATCTGGACAGACAATTAGAGGAACGAAGCAAAGGAAGAAAAGAGAAGAGAGCGAAGCGAACTGACGCGCAGTGGAGATAGCAGGTGATTCAACTCCATTTAATCAAGCGTTAATCAATAATTTTATCAGATAGAAAAAGGTTACAGACATGTAATGAATAGGATAATAAGTGTACACACATATGCGCTCATATAAAAACAGTCATGGTTGATAAGTGAATAATTAACAAGGTCAAAATGTGATTCAAGAAGAATGAATAAATTGGCCTGACTAGAAGCTAGAATATGGTATATGGACATAACATAGTAATTGACAGTTTTGCTTTCAAAGTAAACTTATGAATTGCATGTCTAATTTCATTTTTACGTTTTAAGTAGATAAAGTGAAATTTACTACAAATAATTAATATTAATATGTTAAATCGTGAAATGATCAAGTAATAGTAGGTTTATATTTCGCTTCAATCGTAGAAATGTAGTACAATGAAAAAACAATTCAAAAGACACATAAATTGTTGGATACGATGTTTAGAAAAACTATTATACATTTGGAATAAATTCAGTTATGCAGAAAAGTATTAGTTCAGTATTCAACTGACAGATCAATCAGAAATAAAATAGCTGCTCATGAGTATCTTCTAGAACAAATAAACACTGATGGATAGGTTACGGTTTACTAAACGTTAAGTAACATATACTAATATATAGTTACAACAATGCCTGAAGCATGCCTAAACATGAAAACAATAGAGAATAGGATAAATGTATTTCAAATTATCCTAGAAGCTTCAAATATTTCAGATCAATAACCAACATTAGGAAAATTTAGGCATTTAACAACACATTTACTTCCTTCAAAACATCTGCCTGTATACTCTAAATATTTTTATCATCAGTTAAAGTTCACATATGTACTCCTAAGTATAATTAGTCATGCGATTAAGTATTCCTTTTAAACAATTACAATGGGTTTTTAAACTCTAACCAAAACTCTTAAATTAAACCTTAACTCCCAACCCTAAGCCATCGTTCAAAATTATAACACTAATTATTTATTTCTATAAACTACATTCTGATTAGGTAAAAATTGGTTTGACCTTTCAAAGTCTTCTAACGAGTACACGATGGTCGTCAGTAAAGTATAGACCTTTACTGCTCACTTAGCGAATTAACTGGAACCAAAATTCTACACTTTTTCACCAAACAGTACTGAATGATCTAGCTGAATGGATAAATTTTGTTCAGATAACTTTATTTCTCTAAGCCATTCTTGTTTATAACATCTCAATATTCTTATTATCATAATGAAAACTAAGGTTGTGATAAAACATATGAACTGATTGTATTCATTGCTTACATATTTAAAAAAGAAAAAAGAAATCAAAAGTGATCGACGAACGAGGTTCCATTTTTTTTAGATTTTCTTCCAAATGATTGTAATGCTTAGTGAATATATAGATATGTATAAGCGTAATTGTATTTGATATATTACATGAAATATACTAATGTAAGTCTAGTTTCTTAGGGATACTGAAAATATCTAAGCTTGTTAGATACATTTTATTGCATGCAAGGATTGTTTGTCTTTTTTCAAGAAATTCTTTAAACTCTGACGTATATAATGCAAGAAAAATATTTATAAATAAACTGTAAATGAGATGGGGTTTTTTTCTTTGTCTTTAATTAAATGCATGAATTAAGCAACCACAACAACAAAAACCAACAAAAGAAAGAAAGAAATGAACTATACATATTGGTAACGTCTACATATAATTTTATTGTCTATTTTTTGATTGAAAAACAAAAAACTTGTTATATGAATGTATTGATAGCCGACTAAATATCAGTATAAAATTCAACTATATACAATGTTCTTATAACTGCGTAAATATGTTCTTTTTCTAGAAGTCTATTGTATTATGTAACTTTGAATAAATAAATGGGACATTGTTAGTGTGAACAATAAATTTTCTTTATACAATTACTAATAATCTATTTTTTACTTGTTTCAAAATCAAGATAAAACAAATGCATAAGAATTCCACTAGCGGGATCGTGGATGCGCATTGCTAAGGAGTCCCACAATAGGACGAAATAGCCGTCCAATACTTCCAGGTTCTTAATGGTGGTCTTAAATCAATTGGTTCATGATCTCAATCAAAAACATAAGAAGACCAATATTAAAACAACAATCTATTGTGAATAATTAGTTTTTGTGATGTTACCATTAGACAAACAATCAATCCAAATGCATATTGTCAATTTTGTATATAATGAACTATTTATGAACAAATTAAACATGATGTGATAGTTAAGATTTTTTTGATACAGTTATTGGGTAATAATATTTTCGTAAACATATCTAGATAATTAACTAACGTAAATTAATAATCACTTGTATAACATTATGTTTTGAAGGTAGATTTTTTTCAAAAACCAATGTCCACTAAAGAATAAATGACAATTAATAAATGGTGTAAAGTTTATACTTTCTCAAAGACAGTAAGTTTCGTGGATTGGTTAAAGTTTGAAATTAACACCGTTGGATGCCGGCTCAGTGGTCTAGTAGTTAAGCGCTCGCGCGCGAGACTGTTAGGTTCTGGATTCAAATTTTGCGATACGGGTCTTGTTGTTTTAAATTAATTGTTATGAATACTTTCAAGTTTCTTTCAAATTATTCTTCATCCTCTCTATACTTATCAAGTACATGGTCATCATTTTCGGACTTCACTAAATCTTATCATTTCCCTTCTCTTAAGCCTGTTTTTGACGTTTAAAATTTTACAATACTTTGATATTTAACCCTCTTTCTATTTTTCGGAAAGCTTTATCATATCGTTTTAAATGGAATTCTATAACTTGAGTAAATGACATCAACAAAAAAGATTATTTTCTTTACTTATTCGTTCCTTATTATTCCATATCACTTGAAACGGTTATAAGTTTTACTAATATCAAATAAAGTCTCACTTCAGACATACTGTCATTTCAAGCAATCACCTAAATATGTTTTTCACCGTTGCTTATTCATTTGAAATATAGTTTTAAGACTATAATTTATGGATGAACCAATCAGGTATAGGATAATGGGTCTCGGATTTCGGCGTGAAATTCACTCATCCATTTGGGTAAATAGAGTTTTGGCATTCTAACTGAAGTCATTTTGTGATGAAAACCTTAATCTAAGTTCTAACCTTAACGATCAACTGTAAATCATAATTCTAATGCATCACACTGGTCTATAACCCAAGTTATTAGATGCACAATCTCAAGGTCACCTTAGAATTGTTCAATGGTTGTTCATAAGTCTTACCGGAAAATCTTTTGTTTATTTAGATAATACAAAATATTAATATTTCATTGATACAACTGAAATGCAAAAAAAATAACAAAATAATGAGTGTATCCATATTTTGGATTCTTTTATGAGAATTTATTACATATCTTGTGACAGAAAACATATATATTTCAATTCCTTTCTAACTAATTCTCTATCATTAAATAGAAGGATTTAAATGGTAAATGTTTCAACTAACCTACACTTATCATTACAGAGTCCGTCTTCGTTTTTTTTTAAAAAAAATAGTTTTTTTTCACTTTCTTTTTATAAATAGCTATGCTTTAAGAAACGAACATTCATTATATAATATGTTACTGAGCTAAAACAAAAAAAACTTTTACTTATCAATTTCAAGTAACAAACATTTTGATTAAAATCTTCATTTACGATTTCTGTAGAAATGAAAATAAATTACTTTTAAAACATTAAAAAGGAAGAATATATTTGTAAAATCTTAGTGAATGATTTTGAAGTAAATGTAACATTTTACCTGGCAAATCATTCTTCCTCCTTAACGTTTCATATCAAATTAGCGCCAAAATATTGTAAAATTATTCGATCAAATTTAGACAAATTTTCTTATTAATTAAAATGCTTGTTTTTGATTAGGATCATGAACCGACTAATGTCAGACCACCATGGAAAACCTGGAAGCATTGGACGGCTGTTTCGTCCTATTGCGGGACTCCTCAGCAGTGCTCATCCACGATTCTACTCACGGGATTCGAACCCATGGTCTTCAGTCTCGCATGTGAACGTTTAAGCTAATGGACGACTGAGCCGGCATAGAATGGTGTTAGTTTCTAACATCAATAAATTCACGAATTCCGAGAATTCTCTCACGAAGCTAGTCACTAGTGAGCACATGTTAATTATCAGTATAAGTTGACGTTAGACACTAACATCATTTTATTCCGACTCAGTTGTCCATTAGGTTAAACGTTCGCGCGCGAGACTGAAGACCTTGAGTTCGAATCCCGGTAGCGGGACCGTGTATGCGCACTGCTAAGGAGTATCACAAAGGGACAAAACAGCCGTCCAATGCTTTCAGGCTTCCAACGGGGGTCTATCATCAATCGGTTCATGATCTCAATCAAAAACTTAATAATCTCCACAATCCCTATACTGATAAATTATCTGTATGTTATTCAGATAATACTTCTTCACATTCTATTGAATAATTCATATGAGACTAAAGTTATCCATCGGAAATTGAAAAAATCACTCATTCAATTGATTATCTTCTTTAGAATGTTTATTTTAACTAATAAGAGCATCATTTATGTTTGTCTGATGCCACTATTAGTCATTTTTATCGTTAGGTCATCTCAATAAATCTAAATGGAGGCCAGGAAAAAAATGTCTAGTTGTATGTGATAAAACGAGATTTAAATATTAGTCATAAAAGAGTATAGGAAGTATATAATGTTTAATAATAAACAAAATGTCAACTTACATTTTATAAATTTACCATTATATTCAGTTTCTTCAGTGAGATTTATTTGCATATTTACATTAAAAGTTAAGATGTTTATAGAAAATAATGGAAACCATTGTTGTTGAGTGATTGAAGTTTCTTGACAGTTGACATTTATTATTGGTCCATTTAGTTTATGTGTTAATTCACATATTAAATCACTTTGTAAATATAAAGGTCGATTATTTATCTACAAGAAATAATTAATAAAATATGGATTACCTATTTTTTGTTGTGAGAATTATTGTAAACCCCCTTAATAGAACATAATTACTAGAAACAAACTTGGTAACTTTTCAAAGAAATCACTTGACAGGAATTATCCATCAACAAGGTTTGTACTAAACTTCCTACCTGAAAGATTTGAAACATGAAGATTTTAATTCTAATCCTTTACTCATATTTGCTAGTGTTTCAACACTCCCTCAGGAGATCAGGAATAACGTTCCGCGTAGTCGGATCGTTTGCCCTACGGTTGCGAGGTGATAAAGAGACGAGAGAAGGAGTAGCCGTGGAGATAAGAGATTTATTAGGAGGTTTAGGAGGTATTCGAATGTGACCAACTTGGTCTCGTGTGTTGTAACGGGTATGATGGTTGATATCACTTCCCGGCTGCGCACACCGTGGAAGGGTATTTCTTGAGTAACCTGTAAAGGAAGTCAGGGTAATGTTGGTCTTAACGACCTGGGAACATGACCGTAGAGCCCAAGGGACAACTGCTTGAGGCCGGTCGCGCACGGCCTTTTTGTGGGAGGTTTTTAATGTGTTAGCTCCGTTCTTCAAAGGGCCTTACCGCCGGAAACGGAAATCCATGAGGTAAGGTGAGGTGTGACATTTTTGGGGTGCATCACTCTTTGTGTTCTCTCAAATTCTAATCTTTTAAAATTCCTCATATCATTTTCTTTATTCTCTCCCCAAATTTATTTCACTGGGTCATACTACTTGAATAACATTTTCAAATCTTAATCATTCCGATTACTGCTTATACATTTACTACCTCTACAACTACGGGACTTGAATCGACAACTGCATCTCTGTGCTAATGTGGTGTGGCAACTTGAACTGATGTACATACGTACAGAGTTCTATGTTGTTACTGATTCACTGAATGACAACAGCCCATGAACACATCATTCTTAAAAACGTTTGAGACAATAATGACATAGAAAGTTATTTCCTCTTAAAATATCTGATTTGGTGGTTACTTTTAATAAAAAAACAACCATTAAAATTTCATAACAGCTGTTATTCTTCATATGTTATCAACAACAAATTAGTCAAACATTATTGATATATCTAATAAATAAACAAATTTGTTTTAACTGAAAGGAAAAAAAACTATTTTCATAGATTATTTGAAAGGTAGCATTTAGTGTATTTTGGTTCATACCATGTGTACAGTCATCGAAAAATTCAGTATTGTAGTTTAGTATTGTTGAAATCCTCAATAAACAATAAAGACAAATTGTAATTTCTCATTGAATGCCGCATTGTTTATTTTATAGACTGTCCTTGAGAAATCTTTTCATTCAACATGAATTATGTTTGTATACCTGCTTAAATCTATATTTATTCTTTATACCAATAGTAATCTCATTTTACATTCTGTGGTATATAATAGAAATCTCAAAATAATAAACACACTTTAACTAGTAACTTATTTTCTTGTTTTTATAAACTTGATAAGCTGTAAACAAGTTATGGTGATTACAATAAAGAATAAAGAAATAATATATAAATATCCTAAGCAATACAAACATTTCCCATTTTTATTTTTATTTTTTGATAGAACATTTTACTTGTTCCCTTTAAAAGCTAAAAATAAATAGTCATTCATTATAAAATCTTGTTTATCATGAATTCATTATATTTTTCATTAACTATTACATTTTGATGGAGTTTTGTTCTCTGAACAGGGTGGTTTAGTCGTATAGCATTCATCATTGTTCTGAACGACATCATCACAAATATCAGGCAGAAGTCTTTATCTCCCATTGGGAGATACAACCAAAACAAATAGTTAGACGATGACAGGTTTAAGGCAAAGAAGAACCAATCAACATCAAAGTTTATGGGATAAGCTGTGAACCATATGTGGAGAAATTCGAACACTTCACTTCTACCTGAAGTTTGTGCTAATGATGTTGTTCAGAAGAACTATGAAAGTTCCACGACTAAACCACTCCATCAAAATCATCCACCTGAGCTAAAAATCTTCTCTACTATTACATTTTCTCATCACTAAATAGGAGATATCGATGTTTAATGTTTCTATATAACTATAAGGGTTTGAAACTTATGTTATGTTTTGTAGCTACTTCCTTATCTGTCAAATTTATTCGGTATTAAGATGTGATGTTAAATAACTAAACAATACAGTTATAATTAATCATTTTTAGTAAATATTCCTATTATTTGTTTTACAAATTACAAACTTACTATGAACTGTTGATCATTTAATTTTGAATTATTTGTTAAAATAAATGGTTGATATTCATCATTACAAAACATTGAATTTCGTTTCTTGATCATAGTCACTGAATATGAATTGATAGTTTTAGGAATATATTCTGTTTGACATGAACCCAAATGATCTATCTAATAAAAACAGTTGATTATATAAAGTATATATTTCTATGACAACTGTAATCTTAAAAAATGATTTAAATATTTTTTGAATATCATTCTTCTAGTAAATGATTTCAAACAACCATAAGGTGAATAAATGATCTTTAGTCTTGATTTAGTTTTCTGAAGAAAACATACAAACTACTAGGATACTGGTTTATTACTATAAATATCACTATTTAGTCATCTGTTATACAAACTATATGGAAGTTGGAAGTTAAGGGATCTAGCCCATAATGTGACATGCAAATCTATGTATACATGTAAACACCGTGACTGAATTCCACTAATCAAGTTCTAAGTAGATCAACACCAAAGTTTAAATAGATATAACACTACTAACTACTCAGCGATTGTTTAATACTAAAATTGCTAGTATTAATTGTTATGTCCTCGTGGCCCGTTAATTATCACATGATACGATCGATAATTAGAACACCGACTTATCGACCAAACTAACCACGCATAAACCAGCACGAGCGGCCTGAAGTACACTCTGAGTTCTTATTGGTCCATCGAGACAGCAGCTTCTTGCCCAGCTGGTTTAGTTTATGATTGATTGCTGCCGAAACATATATGCCGTCAATCTTTGTATATAATTATCAACTTAATCCGCTTCAGTGAATAACGGAATTAAATAAGCCAAATACGAGAATGGATTTTGTATTTCGTACAGTTGTTGATCGAGGCAAACGATCGAAGAAACGAAGATAGTAAAGAGAAGCGAAATGAGGCTCAGTGGAGAAGGCATGTGAGCCGGCTCCATTTAATCATACGTTAATCGATAGTTATATCCACACAAAAATAAGCTACAGATGTAAGATGAGTAGGATAAGATGTACGCATACATACACATAAAAACAGTATTGATAGGTGAATAATTAACAAGGTCAAAATATGACTCAAGAAGAATGAATAAATTGGCCTGTACAGAAGCTAGAATAAGCTGTGTGGACTGAACATATCAACAGACACTATAGATTTAGACCACTAAAGTATTCCATTTATGTGAGTAATGAAGTACATTTCTGTTTCAATTAAATTTTATCATTTTTTAAAATTTTTGTACAGAACAAGCATTGTCTACACACATTCAAAGTTCTGTACATCTGTCCACCGTCGTATAAGAAAGTTATTTATGTTTGTGATTCCAATTTTTTATCAGAATGAAAATCAATGAGAATAAGAGTTGAAATAACTAATATTCAGAAAACTTAACAATGCGGAAAGAAAATAGAAAATAATTAATCTAATGGTTGACATAAAGATCAATGTAGTTAGGGTTTCAATAGCCAGGACCAGTTAGACAAGTACTGAAAACCAAAATGAACTAGACATCTTGTAGTGTCGGTTATTATGTTAAGCCCATATACCTTATTCTAGCTTTCGGGCAGTCCAATCTATTCACTCTACTTGAGTCACATTTTAACCTTGTTAATTATTCGCATATCAATCTTGACTGTTTCTATATGAAAGCATATGTGTGTGTACATGTCTTATCCTATTCATCACATGTCTATAAACTATTTTTGTGTGGCTATAAATATTGATTATTCATTGACTAAAGGGGAGTTGGTTTACCCGCCATCTCCACTGCGTGTCGTTTTTCTTCGCTCCATTCTATTCGCTTCATATACAAAATACGTGTATCCAAAAATTCATTCTTGTTATTTGACTTATTTAATTCCATTATTGACTAACGCGATTTAAGTCAATCATTATATACAAGAATAAGTGACATATATATTTCGACAACGATCATTCACACGATCAAATTGGAATCAAATCCCGGGCCACTAAAGTGGAGAGCCCGTCAAAAAACATCTTCCGATCTATATGACGACAAAATAAAGGGCCCCACAATCTGTTTCATCTCAGCATGGCACTGCTCATTAGTACACATTCACAATCCTTCCGCTACCGATCAAACCCAAACCCTAAACCTCTAGAACACTGGATCGGTATTCAGTAGCGTACATTTCCAACATCAATCAACTCATGATATGATGCAATCAATTTCAATCTCTGATAGAATTGTCCTTGTATACTACTCAAAAATATTATACTAGGAAATAAAAGCTATCTAATATCTCATGATTTCCATTGACATTCCTAGGAATGCAAGTTATAAAAATCAATAATCACTCCAAAAACAAATAGAAAAAAACACCTACCACTAAACATAAAATTATGTAACATATATATATATATATATATATATATATATATATATATATATATATATATATATATATATATAGATGTAGTTTCGTGAGACTTTTTTAATAAAAGGAATATATAAATATTTTAGCGTCAAAAATCAAGTGTTGATCTATTTTTTTGTATTTAGGATTAAAAAGGCACACATCAAACATAATCAAAAAATATATTAGAGAATTCTGTATAAATTTATCTTCGTCGGTAACATTCATTATTGAAATATTCATATAACCGAATAAACTTTTAAGATTATATAAATGAATACACGAAATTTAATTGTAAGTCTATAAAGTATATTACTAGTTAAAACAGTCATGTAAGTATATTCGTATATTTTATAATGTTTTCACGATATATTGAGAATATCAGAAACAGATTTTGTGGATATTATTAGTAAATTCAATGGTTGAGATCAAGGGTCAATGAAAGCTGGACCACCATGATAAACATGGAAGGACTGGACGAACGTTTCGTTCTATTGTGGGAATCCACAGCAGTGCACATCCATAACTCCGCCTCATGAGATTTGAACCCAGGACCTACTGGTCTAGCCTCAATTGACTCATAGTCTCAACAATTGAAATTACTAAAATCTCCACAAAACCCTTTCTGATACAAATGTGAACTAGTACAAAATGTATGTACAGTGTTCCATATCTCTTGCCTTTAGACATGGACGTATACAGAAACAACCATTCGTCTTGCTAGAATAAAATAACCTCGTTCGGTATGACAGTTATTTACACTAATTTATGGGCTAGTTTGTGTTGTCATTTTGTAAGGCATAATATCTTACATCACAGACTAAAACGGTTCATCTTGAAAGACTTAATTTTATTTCACATCGGTTTTTATTAAATTTGTTTGCTACATGTTGAGTAACTAGGTGGTAGATACGCCTATCTATCTATAATAAAATGTGTTTCATTTTACGAGGTAAATAAATTGGAATTCATTGATTGAAAAATTTGGATACATAGTTTCTACATTGTGCTTGATCTCGAATCCAGTGAGGCGGAGTTGTGGATGTGCACTGCTGTGGAGTCCCACAATAGAACGAAATGGTCGTCCAATGATTGCAGGTTTTCTATGGTAGTTCACATTTGTCTCTAAAGTCAGTCTACGATTTCAAAGAAATCGGTTCTCTCAAGGAAAAATTCAAATCTACACGAAACATTGTCATATTCTGATACGATTCCATCGATATTATCGAATCATAATTCACATTTTGTCAAGGCAAATTACACATTTCAGTCAGTCACTAAATAATTATTTGTGTCAAAGACTTCACAAACATAAAACTGAATAACATTCAGTAATTAGGAATATTTTATTTATGCTAATACAGTGTACTCCTGTGTTTGTAGTTCAAATAATAAGCAATAAACACACAATGTATATAACATAAACAAAATCAAATGATAGTTCTGTAACAAACTTGCGTCAACCGAATTCATTAAGAATAAATTGTGATTATTTTAGACTTATCTCATTTAATGCTTCATCTCCTTATAAAATTTGTCAATAAAAGAATATGTAGTACTTTTGCTTCCTTCGTTAAAGTTTTCCTGAATGGTCCATTTGATTATTTTGATGTTCATTTTTATTTTGGAAACAATTTTCATGACAAAACGATGTAAATAAAAAACAAACACACACTTTTTGATTTTGTTTGGCACTATTCAACGGTATGGACGCATGCTCTCATATTGGAATAAATCAAAACGGATGAAATCTATAAATAAACAATTCTAAAACCACCAAAGTTGTTTTACCTTCAGCAGACTTGTTAATTATTTCCTTACGCTTATTAACCTTCATGGAGGACAAGAAGCCACCCACCAGCATTCTCCTTCAAAATCTGTTGAGATCATGAGGCAATTGAGGCTAGACCAGTAGGTCCTGTGTTCGAATCTCATGAGGCGGGGTCGTGGATGCGAACTGCTGAGGAGAACCACAATTAGGCCAAACGGTCGTCCAGTGCTTCCACGTTTTCCATGGTGGTCTAGCTTCAATTGACTCATGACCTCAACTATTGAAACTACTAAGATTTCCATTAAATCCCTTCTGATATTGTTATTTAGTTGGATAATAGGAATTTTTGTTGGAATTTTCCCAACAATCAATCATACTCTTAACGAATGATAAAATCTTTTTTTATGTATAAATCATTGTTTAACTTAAATTATTTCTTAAATTAAACTATTTGAGTATATTTAGTTGATAATAAAATAAATATTATTATTATTATTTTTTTAAAAACCATATCATTCATCAGAAAGATGATTTCCCTATGGATTAAATTGACATTGTTTTTGAATAAATATACTCTACCATGAATAAGTTCATTATTATTAAACATATATATCTTATTCAAAGTAATAAAGAATTTAATTGAACTATAACATATGAATAGTATCAATGGATTATATAAAGGTAAATAACTTTACTACATATCAATAGATATATTAAGAAATAAATGTTTGTTTGTTTGTTTGTTTTTATAAGTTGTTAGTGTATCAACCAATGTCAACAATGAAGTATACCGCTTTATTTGATATTTAAAATTAAATTATACTATAATATTAACAAATAAAATAAAACTTAATAATTTATCAAATACTTTTTAGAAGTAAACTATAAACAGAATTTGCATATCCCATATGACTTCATTAGAATATGTTTAACCTTTTTATTGTTGAATCTTCTTATTGTTGTTTAAAACTGAAATTGATCAATCTCTTATTGGC